CCGGGGGATCGTCGCGATGATGGTTGTGGGATGTCGATCGATGCCTCGTGTGCAGGGTGTGTTCGCGGTGTTATCGTGAGACGACTCCTGTGGCGAATGTTGGGCTAGACCAGGGCGGGCAGACAGGCAGGCTGGATGGGTGGGTGCTCTTTTCGGTGTAAGTCGACGGATGGATTCGCCGTGGTGAGCTTGTGCTCTGTGCTCTGAGCTCTGTGCAACAAGCACAAAAAAGGTGACTGTGGTCACGGTACTAGGTCAGGTATTTAGGTATGCCTGGGAAGGGGGGATTCTAATTTCGAAAGGTGAAAGCTGTCTTTTCGGGGAACTGAAAGTCTAGAAGAGACGTCTCCGGTGCCCTCTCGACAGAACACAACCTGCGGAACCCGTCTGTCTGTGGCGGGTTTCATGCCCAAGTTGGGCTTTGGGTATCAACACCGCCGATAAGTGCGCTCAAAATCTGAATAAGCGAGACCTGTGGCTGGTGTGTGTTTCTATCGAGACACCATGGACACACAAAAAAGAAGGGTTTAAAAACAAGAAACCCTCGATTGCGGGTTGTGGCTCTGCACTTGAGGCCTGTATGGCTGCAGAGGTCCTTTCCAAAGGAGCAGTCAATCAATCAGCTCACGAGGTGGGAAGGGGTGGATGGAATACGCGACAGTCTCGGACAACGCATATCGCAGCGGTGGCATATTATTTGCCCTATTTGCTCGTAGGATCCAGGCAGGTTGCAGCCAGACACTTAGTTGCAGACAAGACGGAAGCCAACACAACCATTCATTTCCCTTCCGCATCTGCCTATACTACCTAGAACCTACACTACGAATACCTACCGTAGTTCTAGAGGCATGGCATGGCAGAGAGGGTCTTTGTTGGAGCTCCAGCCCCACCGCCCTGCCCATTCGGGGGACTAGAGTGAGAAGGGAGCCTGCATTAGCCACCGCCCGTCCACGCTCTCTCAACCAGGGACGACCTGGCGCTGGACGAAGCAATGCCCCGGGCGCCTATGGCAGCCCCTCGACGGAGGAGTCATTGTGCGCTTTCGCGAATAGGGTCACGTGCGGCTCTTCTGCAGCAGTGCCTACCCTACCTCCTTAAGTGAGTAGGTACTGTAGCTCGGCGCTGTCTGTGCCTGCTGCCTGTCCGCTCTCCGGGTCTGTACCGCCTGTGAATAGGAGGACGTGGCAGAGTGGTGGCAGAGCGGTCTGCGCATCCTTGCCTCCCACCGAACACTTGTTCGACCAGAGCACACAGCCCCCGTGGCAGTAGGAATGCTTTGGTTACTGGGACGGTGTAGGGCACTGTCGAATAAGCGGGACTATACCGACGAGAGGCGAATGACAGTTTATCATACTAATACGAACATTGCAATGGGCTTTGTTCCCGTCCGTCCATTTTCGGCAGGCGTCCTTGTCAATGGAAGACAACATCGAGGAGTGCTTCTTCTGGTTGGCGTCCTAGAACCACGATACAGTACACCTAATAACATAGTCCGTATTTGCTTACTTTGGTTCCTACTCATCATCTGCAGTGAGCTTCCCAAAGAATCCACACACGTGTAAGCCATAAGGTAGAAATATAATAAGATTTGACGAGGATGCAGTTCTGGTCCACATGTGGTATAGTGTACAGTCCCCGGTCAAGCTACTACTGCAAAGCTCGACAGTATTATTGTCATTCTCAAACCCCCAAAGAAAACCCCCAAATGGTAGGCAACTGATTTCACAATTGACCTGGTTCATGCAAGTCGATTGGCTCACCCGGTCTGCTAAGAGAACGTGTGTGGCTGCCTCGACCATTTGCATGAGTCTAGTCCTGCATGCAATCCTACATTCGTAGTCCAGGCATGAAAAAAAAAAAAAGGACCACCCACTTGCATCGATAGTTAAACGAGTTACACAAGCAGGCAGTGAAGATTTCTTCTTCATCCGCTAGATATATCAGGCAGGACATATAAATATCGCACGAGTGAAGCGTACCTGCTACCGCCAGTTATGGTCACTATGCACGTTGAAGACGAAGAGTGTACATGCTGGATACTGGCAGCCTGGATCCCTTGACTTGTACACATGCTGGTACGAGGTCGTTGCCGAGATGCCTTCTCGTCAGAGGAGCACTCCATCTAAGCAAATTTTCGGTTAGTCTAGACAACAAAGCATTTGTACAATGACTAGGTTTAATAAGAGAAAGTCTGCCATCGCTGCGAGGACGCCTGATCTAGCGATCGTAAACTATTGCACAGCATACAAACCCAGTCCTCCTCAGTTTAAAACCCCAGAGGGCATCGTCAATCATACCCCACTCACGGTAAAGCAAAATATGGGTTGTGATAGGTCGGCCACCTAGAATACCCTTACGGTAGTGATACATCATCTGTCTTCACATGAATTAACAATAAGCCGGGCAGGACAAGTTATATAAGTTGACGTTAGAAGTATATCTGTCCTCCCAGCCATGGGGTTAATACAAATAAATCAGTAAATCGTGAAGACAGCCAACCTCGTGGCGGGGATGCTTGGCATTACCAACGATGGATAGGGACAAAGAGCCTCACCGCTCTTTCCATTGGGTGTAAGGGACAACCTTGTAACGTCATTGATCATTGCGTCCCAACCCTTACAATACTGCGTAGGATACCAATACTGAGCCATGCCACGATCTTGTGCTAGGTGCTTTTTGGTAAAGACCATCCCTGAAATTGCGGCAGTATCGGATCGGAGTGACGTGGTTGTTCTCTCTTCGCTCGGAAGAAGACGGGTCCTCCGGCCTCACTGGCAAGCTCCCACGAAGTCGTGGCAGACGGCCGTGGCATTGAACATGCCTCGGGGCCTGAAAGGGCAAGACAGCTACCGGATATTGCCGGCTTCCACCATCATCCTTGAACCCAGACTGCACTACGAAACCGGATAGCATTCGTGACCGGTCGACGTATGCGAGTGCTCTTGCTGCTCATATTGTGCTAAGATGAGTCGCCAACCAAACACTCCCTAATCAAGCAAGCCCCGTCTTGCTTGTGTGCGTCTTTCCGACCAATTAGGGGTTTGTTTGAATAGTAGGTGGTCCGAACTGCGTTCGTTAATAGTCCTCCTACTCGATACCTGCATTCCGGTCCCGGTTGGCAAATAATACCATGAGGTATTAAACCTTCAGACAGCTTTTGATGCAACATGGTGCCTACCAAGCCATAAGCCCATGAACATAAAAATAGTCTGTAAGATAGGGATCCATGGAGACTCGATTCTAATCCTCTTTGTACCTCCACTGCAGTATAATGACTTATAAACAGGCCGAAGAATACAGGACCATAGCCGTAGCGGTCTAAAATACTGTTGCAAATTTAACAACCTACCTCCCTTACTTAACCTGAGGCTTACCCGGTAACGAGGGGTTCATGCGGCGACGCTTAGAACTGACCTTAATCCCGAGTAGCTCGAAAGACACGTGCGGGAATGCTGTGATAGGTAGTATCCTATTTCGTCTCTTCCAATGGTGATAAAGTCGCGACGGGGCTCAGTCTTTTACTAGTCATGCTGTGGTCTCAGGGCAAGGCAACACATCAAACCACCAAGAAACTGATAACAGATGTTGGAAACAACAGTGCCGCTTTGAGCTCGAGGGAACCTGTTGGGCATGTCAGGTATGTATGGATAGGGAAATCTAGAGCAACTAACCCTGGCCCTAATAGGTTGGTCCTGTTGCAGTCGGTACTGGGTCCTAGCTATGAAAGAAGTCTTGGTTATTAGCTGGTCGATGTTATCAGTCGTCCCTCAGCGATGGCAAGCGAAATCGAGGTGGGTGATGTTGTCACTATCATCCGGCCAAGGCCAGGAACCGAGTTCTAGCGATATTCTCGAGATGCCCGCCCCAGGACTGCTCTTCATCTGGGGCGAACACTGGATCAACGGGTCACATCTCTTGGCAGGTTGCTCATGGCGAAGCTAGGTAACGGCTGACGAGGTATTTATCAACGGTTCCAGATGTCCAAGACACCATGCCCCAACCCAGTGGGCCATGTGTAAAGTGTAAGTAGTGTAACCTGGCGGCAGGGGCCGTTGCAGGCCCCAAACTCTGTTCGAATCTGGGCTGTCGACGTCATAGCAGACTCGATTCAGTCATGCAAACCAAGCCATCTTGAAACAACTCCACTCCCATGGCGAGAAGGGCCAGGATTTTGGTCAGGAGTTTTGCAAAAATTATTGTCCCCCCTTGAAAAAGTATTTCTAGGGTAACCGCGCCTGGGCACTTGATCGAAGCGCGATCGACGGTTGCGGCAACCGTGACAGCCGCGAACACCGGGACGAGAGAACCCTACCCTTTCGACTAGGGAGTATACAGGCTTAGTCGACATAACTCGACCGGATTGAATGCTGATTGGACATAGGTACCCTCCTACAGCCTCACGTGGTTGTAACCTTCACGTGACAGTCGTCCATCGGGGTTATTCGACGAGGTCTGGTCTATCTAGCCGAGACAGTACATACATACCCGTACATACACACACACACGCGTGCACATTTATGCTGCCGAGAGTCGACTCCATCGTCGAGGGCAGGCAATCGCCAGCCGACACGGGCTGAACCGAAGTGCAAATCTGCAGATGACGATCCGCCGACTAGGGTTTTTTTAACCTTAAAACTCGCCAAGCTGTAGCGAGACATCGAGGACCATTTGACCAAGGTCGCCGGCTACTACAGATGCAGCGTGCATGCACACAATATATCTGGTGCAGTAGTACTGACGTTCTTGATGGCCGGAGATCGACAACATAATTTCTCCTTTGAAGAGACGTCTTCGACAAAACGCAACATACAAGGAAAACATGCATTTGGAAGCGACCGTACATGCAGAGATTAGAACGGCCCGATGCATTCGTTGCAGAACTTGGTAACCCCATCCATCTCATCACTCATGACCAGCCCGTGCACGCTTTGTTTAGGAAGGCTAGGGAGAAGAAGCCAACATGAAGGGGAAAAAGGTGCCAAAAGTTCAAGCAAGCTCCACTCCGAATCGGGGAATCGAACCCCGGGCTTGACGGCACCCCTGTGGAAGGAGAGATGAGAGCGTCAAATGTTAGCCACTACACCAATTCGGAGAAAACAGGCGGGATGGAGCCACCGACGTTGGACTCGCGGGGAATCGAACCCCGGACCACTCCCAGTTACTCGAAGGCTTCTCGGAAGACGAGGAGACCATCAGATGCTAAGGGAGTATTATACCACTAAACCACAAGCCCTAGAAAGGAAGGGGAGGAGCTTCCTTCTGTGGGTTCGTCGGTCACTAAAACGAGATTTGGTGTTTGCCTGTGTTGGAAGTTTGGTGGTGCCTAAGAGGAATGGCGTCGTGCCGCTAAGCCACAAGGCCCCGAATTGAACGAGTCAGCTTGTGTTGCGTCTACCTAGCTTAGATAAAGCGTGCGCCCGAATGAACTGACGGCGGAACTAGGTAGGTATCTAGGTTACCTATCTTACAACTTACAGTAGTACTACTGTACACCAGGGTCGTGAGTAGCATCAAGCCAACCCTCGAAAGAGATGGTTTACCTTTGCACAAAGAAAAGCACCCCACACATACATCGCATCTCGGAAGATTTCAAGCCAATATGAAGACATGAGGTTAAGTCAACAGGTGGAAATCAAGCTTCCGAATCCTTCCGGTGAGGGGAGAGGGGAGGGGAGGGGAGGGGAGGGGAGGGGAATTTGGTCGCAGCGATGACTCTGAACGGTTAATGCTCAATTCACCACACCTTGTTGGGTAGCAACCGGGCCATGGGCAGTTGATAAGCTCAGTCATCTGACGCACGCTGAAGTGCTCGAAGAAGTGCTCGAAGAAGTGCTTCTCCAAGGCAAACAAGATCTTGCTCCCAGTCCCCTACAGGATGCAGCGGTGGTTTCCCCAGTCACACCGAAGGTGGCGAGAGTGTGGTGTGGTCGATAACGGTAGGTGGTATTTGGGATTTGCCAGGCGAGTGAGGGGGGGGGTGTAATTGTCAACCTCTGCACAACCAAACCACTTCTCGATCGAGTACCTAGTGTAGGTTGTGTTCAATATTGTGTAGGTAAGTATGGATTTCCCGGGACCGACGCTCCAACTTGAATTTACGTGCATCCTAAGGTAGTGTATGCGCCTGATGGATCCATGACGTTGAATATTAGCGTTGTAACTTGCCAAGTTTCTTGTTTGCCAACCAGGTTCGCTGGTCATTCTGCTCCCTGTCTCCATGGCTGCTCGATAGTAGTGGGATAGTATAGTTCGTCGGCTGTCTGACAGGTTACATACGCTACTACCGGTATAGCAGGCAGGTAGGTATACTGTGTAGATAGGGCACTACTTGTCCCTACCTACACTGCACTACCTAAGGCAGTCCATCCAGGACACGCACCGCATATGCATACTTCTAGGTAGGTTAGGTGATGGTCCCCATCATATACAGTCGGTAGCCGCAGCAGCCGGGCTTTGATTGGAAATTCGTCCAGGTAGGAATTGTGCGCATCACGCCACCGCAACGCGCAAGTGGTGCAGCGTCGTCGAGCACCCAACTCATGCAAGGTACAACGCGGACGCGCTGCAGCAGTGCGCAATTCCCGATCCCTGGCCGTGCATTGCCCTCGACTCACCAAGACAGCAGCGAATGATGCGAGCGCTCACGAGCCTCATCAGCGTCGCATACAGCTGCACACTTGCGTCGGATACACGGGGTACGGCCATGCAAGAGGGTGTGCAGCCATGTCAGATGCCTCCCTAACAAGAACAGGACTGCGAGACGGCGACGAGGACGAGAACGACAAGCACGACAGGACGTGACGGGAGTGGGGGGACGGGGGGAGAGAGCGCCGTGGTGTCTCACTACTTACGAGGTAGTGTAGTCTGTCTGTCTGTCTGTCTGTCGACAACTCGGCGCGGTCTCGTATCCTCGCCCAGTTTTCGCTTCGCTTCTGGGCCGCACACCATCTCCCCCCATGCGTGGTTCCGCTTTGGGACTATCTGGCCCTCCCCCAGCTCCTCTCCTAGCCCGAGATATGAGTCTTCGTGCCCTGCGCCCTGTGATTGATTCACGGCAATAAGGATTAGGTAGACCGGCGCCCCTCATCGCCCTTTGTGGGGTTTGCTAAGATACCTAGCCGTCTCGACAGCTGAGGGACCGGGATGACCACCTCCCATCATCTTCACCTACGGCTGCGAACCCACCAGGCAGCGTCTCTGGCCAACAGGTGACTAACCGAGCACCAGCCACTTTCCCTGACATAGTTCCCTTCTGCCTGTGGTAAGATATATATATCTGGCCTCACCGCCGTATTATCCTGTTTTGTGTTATTTCCATTTTATCGTTTTTGGCTCGAGGCTACGGCTACTTTCCCTCTGCCACTTCCACTCCCCTTCTTTGCGAGCCGGCTTGGGCCCGGCACTTTCTGAACATCTAGATTTGTAGGGAGAATGACTTCTCTCTCTCCCGATCCTTGAAATATTTGCATCTTCCCAGCTTGGAAGGAAGACTTGGAAACTTGGCTTTCGCTATCAGGGATCCTTGCTTTACCAAGCTTCACTATAATCAACCAATATGCCTCTCTTGCCATCGGATGCACGGAATGCCGTGCACCGCCAGTCATGGCCGCCTAGCGGGCTGTGGCCGTCCAGTCCCAGCCGGATCCCACCGGCGCTAGATGAGGACAAGGACGGGCTTTCTACGGATGACGAAGACATCGACAACTCGTCAAGACCTGAGAACCCCCTCAAATACTTCTTAACACCCGCAACCCCCAGAGACGAGGAGATGGAGTTTGAGTTCGACTTCGATGCAGGCATCGAGGACTCGAATAGCCCCCGTCAGATCGTCCGAAGCGTGAGCCCTTCGACGCTCGACGGTCTGAGACGGTACAAGGCCAGGAGCAAAGAAGCAGACTGCGCCATCCTAGACGAGGATGACGAGGACGAAGACGAGGACGAGGGGGAGGAATACATACGGTTCACTTCACAGAAGTCGCTGCCGTTCGCTCTCGACGACTACTTCGATCACCCGCGCCACAGCTCTCCGAACCACCGAACCTCAGATGCTCTGCTCTCGCCAGCCTCATTCCACGTGGGATCACCCAGAGGCCGTCTAGCCAAGCGCTTCGCGCCGCCGCCGCCGCTGCCGCCTTCTCGACGCGTCAGGCTCCTAGGCCGGACGCTGCAGCGGCGGCACTCCTGGCGCGAACCCAGTCCAGACGTCTGGTCCATCGACGAAGAGCCAGAGAAGGAGACGAGAAGCGAGATGGGGCTCAGCATCGAGGATCTCGACGACGACGACGCCGAGCAGAAGACTCGGCCTATAGATATACCGGCTGCGAAGCCCAGGAAGAAGAAGGTCCGGTTCGTGTTGCCGGTCACGGAGTTCTGATTTACAATCTGCCTAACTATCTATATTCATCTCATCCACTGCATGTTTCCTGATCGGGCCGGGGGGGGAGTAAATCTACTGCATGGTACGGCGTCGTGGGTTCTTCATTGCTTTGGTGGTTCTCCTTTCTGCATCATGGCCACTCAGGTTATCTGTCTGTCCATCTATCTAGCTATCCCCATCATCACCATCATATCATCATCATCACTTTTTTTATGTAGTATCAAGTCCCCGGCATATACACGGCGTCTGGACTGGGTGGTGGTTTTCTTCTTTCTTTTCCCCCCCTCTCCATTCTCACCAAGCTATGGGCATTGTAGTTAGCGGGCATACCTATCCGCGGCTTTGGTTAGAACACAGGGGACTAAAATATTTCCTGATTTTATTATTATTATTATTTTTATTTAAAAACTCTAAATTCGATTTAATCCTTCCCACGTAAACCCCCGTCCGCTGCTAACCCGTGTGACCGCCATCATGTATGTGTCCTCCTTCGCCCCCCCCCCCCCCCCCCCCCTAACGCTCATGTCTCGAACGAACATCTATCTACTACCGGTACCTACACTACACAACATAGTGGAGATCATTCCCGCCGGCGATCTCCGGCGAATAAAAATTAAAACTAAATTAAACTAAAAAAACTAAATAGAAAAAAAATAAGCTCTTCTCGCATGTTTCCCCGAACCCGTCAGCATAACGGGGCAGGGAAGCAGTGTAAAGTGAAGAAGGAAGCCCGCCCTTCTTCATATTACCTAGGCGAGCAACGTGCAGGATGTCCTGTAAGCAGCAGAATAGGTAGGATAAGATAGTTATATCCTTGCGTAAGTACCTAAGTAAGCGTCGAGCCGAACGCCACCCTCCCTTCCCGATCCGCTCCGATGTCCTTCCTGTGCGCCTTCGGACCGCGCAACGCGTTTCTGTTTTGTTCTCGTTGTCTCTGCTGTCTATCTATCTATCTAACGTAGCGAAAGCTCATCGCCCAGCGGCGTGCGTGCGTGCGTCTGTCTTACGCAACTCTTCTTCTTACGCGTTGTGCACAGCCACCCGCTGCTCATGTGCCCGGTTTTTTTGTCCCGCATCCTCGGGACTGGCGGGTTTAGTGTGTAGGTCGGCAGTTTCCAAAGTTCTCTAGTATGTATGTATGTATGTATGTATGTATGTATGTATGTAGATGGATTTTAGTGATTCTAGCGTTGTTCCCACATTTACGCGAGGGATTATGTATTGAGGCCAAGTCTTTTCTTATTCGTTAGCCCTGTCCACCGCACGTCAGACTTGCATTCTTGCATATGCAATGTGCGGCATGTCTAATGCCCGCATTACCTACCCTGCGGTAGCATTCGATAGTAGAGGTGGATGGGTCATCCGAGGACGAGGTATCACTTTGCGAACTGGTAGCCAGCCATCTGTCTACATATCGAGACCTTTTTTTTTTTCGCTGTCACGTCGTAGTCACGGGAAATGCTCGCGTTTGTAAGCTCACTACATAACCGTGTTGCGCTGTTTGTCGGCCGGTGGGGAGGAGACAGGGTGGTTATCTCATGACATAACGCGCGGTATGAGCCGACTCCGTCTGTTCTTTTCTCTTTTCTCTCCCATCGGCGGTGAGACAGACGTACACTAGTCTACACCGTCTTACAAACATTATCTGGATTGGGAAATGTAAGACTCTCTAGACCAAGTACTAGATGCCAGTCTGGTTGGTTTACTAAGCATGCTGTACATCCCTTTCTTTCTTTTCTGCATCCACGTGCTCGCAACGTGAACCACTCCTCGCCATGATAGAGAAAAGCTAAAGCTGGCGCTAACGTCACAGGCTGAATGGGGATGCCTCTGCATTCCAGGTAATCCGCGTTGTC